GTGAGGACTGTGGCTAAGTGAGGATGATGTGTGTGCTCAGTCGCTCAGTGGCGTCTGACTCTCTGCCGCCCCATAGCTGTAGCCTGTCAGACTCCTCTGTCCACGGGATTTCCCAGGCAAGAATACTAGAGTGGGTTTCCATTTCCTCCTCCAGGGGAACTTCCTGACCCAGGGATCGAACCTGGGTCTCCTACATCTCCTGCATTGCAGGTGGATTCTTTACTGCTGAACCACTGGGGAAGCCCACAAGTGTAGACTGATGCCCTGCCCCAAAGCATTTAAATTTAATGTTTTAAGGCACCAGTCTGGCCCAAACAAAAAGTCTGCCAGCCAAATGCACCCTCCAAGCATTTAGTTTGTGCCTTCCATTGAGGGTATGGTTAAGCATATGGGCTTTGAAGATGGGACAGACAGAACTGGGTTTAAATCTTAGTTTCTAATCTGTGGAACACAGTGGCATTTGAAATCACAGAGCAGTTGTGAGGAATATATGAAATAATGCATGTAAAGTGCTTGGGCAAAGCCTGGCACATAGTAAGTGTTTAATTTATAGTAGCTTTTATTGTTATAGTGAATCACAGAATGGCAATGGTGATGGTTTTTGTTTTTTTTTTTTTTTTTAAAATAAAAGCAGTGTTCTCTTGAGCACATTTATGAAAGCATTCATGTGTGGAGTGGTGACACCCCTGGTGGTCATGATCAGGAACTTCAGGGCAATGTAGCCAGCCTAACAGTGTGATTAGGAGCCAAGTTGGTCTTCAGGGTCAAATAGACAAGGAGTTTGAATTCAGATCCGCCAGATACACGTAGGTAATACAGGTCATTTACCTTCACCCTTATCCTGCATCCCCTGCTCCCAACAGCTACGATTCCAAGGAGTGGCTCTATTCTTTTTTTAATATTTACTTGACTGCACCAGGTCTTAGTTGTGGCATGTGAACTCAGTTGTAGCAGGTGGGTTCTAGTTTCCTGATAAGGGATCGAACCCAGTCCCCCTGTATTGGGAGCGTGGAGTCTTAGCCACGAGACCAAGCAAGCCCATAGCTCTGACAATTGAATGAGACAATATAATATCACTTGGCATGCAAGTGATATTACTAGCTCTTAATAAGTGCTGGCTATGATCCTAGCACCCAGAACACCACTGGCCACAGACTGCTAATATCCCTCCCTCATGTGAGAAGGGAAATGGGTGGGTGATTATTTATTTTTTCTTCTTTTGGGTGGGGGTGAGGAGCTGTTTCTTTGGCTTGGAGCACCTGGCCAAAAAAGATACCCCATAGATACCTGAAATTTTTCTAGAGTAAAATATTCCTTTGGATAATGCATTGCTCTCTCCAGACCTCTTTTCAAGTGAAAACTCCCCTGGAAGGATAACTAATATCCTTGTGTCAAATGCTCAGGTGAGGATGAATGAACCAGCTTCTTGCCTCCCAGACCAGAGGGCCTGGGAGACACTTTGTGTGGTCATTACCTCCTCCCACCTGCTCCACACACCCCCTCCATCCTACTTGCTCTTCTGCCTGGAGAGGGGACTTCCTTCCTTCTCAGAGTCCAGAGGCAAGGAGTGAAGCAGGAGGTAGATGCCCCTGCACCCAGGGGAAAGCAATGTGGACCGATACTTCAAGATGAGAATGGCAGGACAATTGAGAGGAGGTGGGGCCCTGCCCAGACAGAAGATAACAGATCACATATTTCTCATTCTCGATGTCAAGAGACCTCCCTGACTACACCTGCGCAGAGAGGGTTCTTAAGAGGTCAAAGGGGGAGTGATGCTGATGCCAAGCTACCCACAGGCTTCTTCAGCAGAATCCATCTTGGCTAAGAAAGGCATGTGCACTCATGGGAGGATCCTGAGATATACCAAATAGGAACCAGGCACATCAAAATGACCAGCCAAAGGAAAACTGGAAGAAATGTTCCATGTAAGTGATTTAAACTGCCATGGGGGTGCAGCTCTGCAACTGAGTCTGCCTGTGTCTATCCACACATACTCTTTTTTTCCTTCTAATAAATACTTCATTTGTTTCATTATCTCCCATCTTTGTTGGAATTATTTTCCAGCAAAGCCAAAGGGCCAGGGCCTTGTCAATCATCACTAGTCTGTATGTGTATTCAGTCGCTCAGCTGCGTCCAACTCTTTGTGACCTAGTGGACTGAAGCCCGCTAGGCTTTCCTTGTCCATGGGATTTTCCAGGCAAGAATACTGGTGTGGGTTGCCATTTCCTTCTCCAGGGGATCTTCCTGACTCAGGGATCGAACCCAGGTCTCATGCATTGCAGGCAGGTTCTTTACCACCTGATCCACTGGGGAAGCCCAATCACTCATCCAATGGCTAGTATTTGGTGCCTTCACAGCTGTGGCCTGACCTGTCTCTGGCTGGGAGTCTCACCACAAGCCACTGAAGGCCAAGGTGACCAGAAGTTAGGAGGAGCCTAGGGTGAGAGACTCCCCCCCTCCACATCCCCCCACTGCAGAGCCCGAGGCAAGACCTGGGCTCAGACTACAGGGTCTCCCCCCTTCCAGCCGCCTCTGAAACAGTTTCTCCCTTGTCAGCCTTGCTTCTCTTCCCATATCCTGCTCATACCTATTACAAGGTCCTGGGCTCTTTTTCTGGCAAACAGAAGCCCCTTCCAACTGAAAAACGAGGAAGAGGAGCCTCCACTTGCCCCCTGGGCATCCTGTCCCACTGCCAAGTGGGGAAGTAAGAACAGGGCAACAGCTCACGTTGATGCAGCTGACCTTGAAGGAAGTAACCTGCTCGCTTTCAGAGGAGGTGCCATATGGCCAAGAAGCACTAATAAGGAAGAAGTTTCACCTCCACAGACAGAGTTTTGGACAAAGAAGAAAAGAACTATTTGAATTTCAGCATACATGCAAGTTTTGTGTTTTACAATTTTGGTACTGTGTTTATTTTGAGCTACATATTTGAGGGGGCACCATAGAACTTTTTCAGTCTTGAGGCTGCCAAAAGTCATCATCTGGGCCTTCATCTCTCCAAGAACAGTCAGATCCTTTGTGGGTTCATCAGAAATCATGAAAAATTTCATCTTGCCACAAATCCCTCATCTGAATCCCACAGCTCCCAGGCCCCCTGTCTTTTTTTTTCTGACCTGGAAGAGTCCTGCCAAGACTCCAAGCCAGTGGTAGTAATCACAGGCCCCGGTAACATCCACGAGGTGGTTTTAAATTCCCCTATGGCACAAGACACTTTCAAAGGATCTTGGACCTGGCAGAGGAGGACAAACTTCTAGAGGTGTCAGTGACCAAGGCTGAAAAGGGGACCAGCCAAGCTGTGTGCTGCGCTTCAGCCCCCAGGGGGCGCCCGACTCCAAAACAACCTTACCTGACTCGGCCGTTCCAGCGGTCTCTGGAATGAGCTTTTTTCCCCCAAACCATTCAAGGGGATTCGAAGGCTGTCATCTGCCTGCCCCCTCACCCCACACTCCCACTTTACACACACACACAGGGCCAGTCTGCAAATCCCCCCAACTGGGCTGGCTGCCCGCCCCCCCTTCTCTTGGTGCACGTTACTCAAACCTCTGCAGAGTAGAACTCCTCCCTCCTCACTCCCACCCCCTCCATCGCCCCTGCGGTCCCTCCAAGCTCATCCTTCCTCTTTGGGACCCCTGGATTATTCCAGGGTTTTGCCAATCTCTCTACCACTCATGAGCTACCTCATCGGATGCTCAAAACTGCAATACCTGTAAAGAAGGTAATGGGGCAGGGATGACGGTCTCCTTGGCAAAAGAGGAAACTGAGGCCCAGAAAGAGGGGGTGTCTGGCCTGCAGTAAGTCAGTGATGATGCTGGGCAGAGAACCAGGACTCCTGAGCACCGAAGCACTCCGGAACCTGCCTGAACATTCCTACTGACTGGTGAGGGACCCTCCCCTCCAACTATCTCATAAGGGCTGCTGGCTTGACTTACCCTCAAAAATAAGTCAAGAAAGTGCTTTCTTGCCCCTGGCTTGTTGGGTGACCTTGGGCAAGTCTCTTCTCTTGTCTAAGCCTCTGGAGAGTATGATGATGGCCTCTAGGTCCTTCCTTTGACTGAGACGCTCTGTGACTTTCTGACAGGAGCCTGAATCATCTCCACCCCTTTGAGGTTTCTGGAGTCTCAACTAAAATGCAAGAGGCTTGTGAGAGGGCTAATGACTGTACTGCAGGGCAGCAGCAGTAATGACCCCCAAACGGGAAGTCTGCACTTCTCACCGCTCTCAACTGCTGGGCTTTACATAAGCTTCAATGTTTAAAGTTATCCTCACTGCAACTCCAGGAGGTAGTAGTAGTATTTTCTGTTTTCTAGATGAGAAATTTAGACTCGGAGAAGTGAAATAAGTATCCTAAACAGGACTAGAGCCTAGGAGGGCCAATCTCAAAAGACAGGCTCTTTTGGGACTTCCCTGGAGGCCCAGTGGTTAAGACTCTCAAAGCAGGGGCCACAGGTTCCATCCCTGACTGGGGAACTAAGATCCTGCGGGGTAGGTGACCAAAGATTTTTTCCAAAAGACAAGCTCGCTCTTCTGCTATATGCTGCTCAGGGAATCTCTTAGAAGTCTGCTTTACAAACTCAGGGTCTTCCCTAGAAAGTCTGTGGCCTTTGGGGAGCCCGTCAGGACTGAAGCCTTTCAGCCACCCCTCAGGAGGTATTCCCGGGCGGCGCAGTGGTAAAGAATCTGCCTGCCAATGCAGGAGCCGCAGGGGACGTGGGTTCAATCGCTGGGTTGTGAAGATCCCCTGGAGGAGGAAGTGGCAACCCACTCCAGTATTCCTGCCAAGCTGATCCCGTGGACAGAGGAGGCTGGTGGGCTACAATCCATGGGGTTGCAAAGAGTTGGACACAACTGAGCAGACACACACACAGGAGGTATTATGGAAACTTTTAAGAGAGAGGCAGAAACCTGACCCAGCATGACCCAGGGTCCTCAGCTTCCCTCCTCCTCCTCAGACCAGTCCCCCGTCGTGAGCCCACACACAGACCCCGCAGCCCAGGCAGAGCCTGTGAGCAGATGCAAGTTTATTATTGCATAGACGGCAGCTTCCTGAACCTTCACCCCAAATAACAACCCCCAAACAAGGCCCCACCCAGGAGCCCTGGCAGCCAGAGGCTTATCCCCAACCCTGAGCCAGACCAAAAACCCGGGACAGCGACCTCAGAGCCCAGGCCTGGAGCCCGTCTCCCCTGAGCAGCGCCCCCAGCCCACCTCTCTCTTGCCCTAAGAGTCCAGAAAAGCCCACACACGATGGTGGATCCCCTGGAGGACGGCAGAACCCACAAGCTCCTCTCGGCAGAAATGCAATCCAACAACCTCGAGGCCCCAGCGGTGCTCGAAACAGTAAGTGTGGAGCCAGAGGGAAGGTTCCCAAGTATTGAGGGACGAAGGGAAAGCTGACCCCATCAGAAACAATCTTCAAATCAAAGAGCAAGCCCGGGTGGGGAGGCCAAACTACCCCCGCCCCAAGGAGCAGAGGACCAAAGACAGAAAAGCAGCTGCTCCCCTCCAGCTTGGTTTGTCCTGGTCACGTCCTTCCCCCGGCTCAAAGGGGCCTGGACCACTGGCCCTCGATCCTTCCCCGGGCCGAGGCCACAGCCCTCAGCCCCCACCCACCCCCAGCCAGCACCAGGGACCGGGAATCCAGCATGGTACACAGCACATCAGAAAGGGGCTACATGCAAAGACCGGCTCTTGCCAAGCAAGCCGAGGAGCTTATCACAGCCCAGCGGGAGCCCCACACCTGCTCCCCTCTCCCTGGGATACGCTGGCTGACAAGCAGCCTGTCTTCAGCATGGGCCTGAGAGTCTGCCCCAGCGAAATCTGTCTGGGCTTTCATGCTCAGCACCCGCCCCATCCCACCCCGACAGAAGCAGACAAACCAGTTCCCGGGGCATCCCTGGGGCTTTATCTCCCCGGCCCCATGGCTCCTGCAGGGCGACCTCTCCTCACCCTCAGTATCCTCAAAGCCCCAACGTGTGATGCCAGCCTCAGGCTCAGGCGCCCTCAGAAACAGGGCCATCCTAACTGCCCCTCAGCCCTTCTCCCCACACACCCCCCCCCACTCCCTGGCCACCTGGTCAGTGGCTTCCCAGCCAAAGGTCCCAAACCCTCTCGTCTCCCCCTCTCCTGCTGGTCCAGAGGGAAGCTAACTGGACCGCTGGGAGGAGACAGAAGCACTGTATTCTGGGATATTCAAACAGAAGACGTCCATTTCCTCTATTGTCATCCTGAGCATCTGGAAGCAAGGGACAGAGTGTGGGAGGGGTCAGGACTGAAACAGGAAGGCCTGGTGGGCTGAGAGCATCACCCTCCGTGGCCCACCACGAGGATCTGAGGATCTCGTCACTTCCTCCGCTTGCCTGAGAGGCCTCAGAAGTTTAAAATAAAGCCAGGGAGGATACGAAGGAGGGGGCTGGGATTTAACATCCTGGTTTGGTGACTTCTCCCAAAACACAAAAAAAAGCCTGGGATGGGGGTGACCTAGGGGAGGGATGGAGGCAAGGGAGTGGATGGGGATGGGGGATGGAGCAGATCGGGGAGTTCAAGACCAGGGTTCTTCTTTCAGGGCTTTCCCTGCCGCTGGGCAGAGAGCTCCTGGAGGGTGCCCAGCACTTTTCTCTTCCTCTGGGCACCGCCTGCATCTGGGCACAGGTGCCACGGGAAGCCTCCTTAAACGTTTGTGGTGTGGATGCAAGTGGACCCCCAGCATCCAGGTCAAGTCCTCCTCAGCCACCCTGCCTGGCACTGCGAAAGATGGGTCCATGCGTCCTCAGCAGGAACTCCTGGCTCTGCAAAGAGAAGAAAAGAGGCCAGGTGAGGGAAGGATAGAGGAGGGAGGAAGGCAGGGGTGGGGGTGGGGGCGAGGCTGAGCCAGGCTCCAGGCAGGGTTCAAGACGCAGGCCTGATCCTCTCTGGGGCAAGATCTCCATCACCAGCACCATCCCCGCCTCTGCAAGCCCCTGGAGCAGTCTTGGCCCTGGGCTCTGACTCAGTGGGACCAGAGACAAGTCCCAGAGGCCCCTCCTTGGCCCATGCAAGGCCCTGCTGGAGGCTGCCTCTGCCTGTTCCCTTTGCCTGGTACACGCTGCCCTTCTCTCCTCCCCTCCCTCACTGCCATCTGGCTCACTCCACACACACCCCCCTCCCCCCCTCCCCCCGCCATCCTTCAGACCAGGAAGTCGGCAGTCCCCGCTGCAACCATTCCCAAATCCCCTAGGAAATGTGGACCCGCTGGGGCCAGCATCCACTCCCAGGGCAGCACCTACCAGGCTAATGCTGTCACTGGCTATTTACCCTTCTCCTTCTTCTCTGGGACAGAGTAGGATCCTCCAGCCCACACTAAGCTAGGGTCAAGGAAGGGGATCTTGTGGGGAGCTAAGGCAAGAGCAGAAACTCTTGTGAGCAGCACCCAGCACAGGACTTACAGTGTGAAGGCTGGTCCTCGTAGGAGAAAGATTTGATTTGCCTTGTGGCTACTTCGGGCTTCCCAGGTGGTGATAGTGGTAAAGAACCCTCCTGCCAATGCAGGAGACCTAAGAGACTATGGGTTCAATCCCTGGGTAGGGAAGATCCCCTGGAGGAGGGCATGGTAACCCACTGCAGTATTCTTGCCTAGAGAATCCCATGGACAGAGGAGCCTGGCGGGCTTTGGTCCACAGGGTCACAAGGAGTCGGACATGTCCGAAGCGACTTAGCACGCACGCATGTGGCTACTTCACCCTGAGACCAGCGAGGGCCACTTTCCTTCGCCCCAGCTCTGCCCAGGTCCTTTTCACCGGACCTTACCCAGGCCCTGAGCTCCATCACGGGGAGAAAACCAGCTGATGGAACTGACGGACTGATAGCAGGATTCAGGAAGAGGATCGAGGGAAGGGGTGGAGTGCAAGCAAGAAAGAACCGAAGGACAGGGAAAGAGGATCCGGCCATCCCAGGCGACCTCAGTCCAGACTTCCGGGGCTCTGTGGGGAGGGAGTCAGGAACTATTTTGCTTAATGTTTAAACTGCAAGACTTTTACATAATGAACCATAAGTTAAAGGTTTACTCTCACGTTCACCTCATTTCTTAGGGCAGGAATGTGTCCCTGCTGTATCCCTATTCCCAGCAGAGCAGGTGCTCAGTAAAGGGTGGTTAAATGGGCTTCCCAGGTGGTTCAGTGGTAAAGAATCCACCTGCCAATGCAGGAGACGCAGGTTCGATCCCTGGGTGGGGAAGATCCGCTGGAGAAGGAAATGGCTTCTCCAGTACTCCAGGAAAGAGCCACTGCAGTACTCTTGCCTGGGAAATCCCATGGATAGAGGCGCCTGGCGGGCCACAGTCTGTGGTGTCGCAAGAGAGTTGGACACGACTTAGGGACTAAACAACAACCACAACAAATGAATGATGAGTTAGTGAATGAATGAATGCAGCACCCAGTGTTCACCTGACAGAGAGCCAGTGTTCTGCATATGTTGAGTCAACGAGTGCGTTGAGTGCGTGTGTGTGTGTGTGTGTTGGGGAGACATGATCTCTCAAATCCACACTCTAGGTCCCTGCCCCTGCTGGGGGATGGGCCTGAATTAACCACAGGACGGTGGCCCAGCAGGCCCTTCCTCTCCTCCCCTGAGACTGCCGTCCCCTCCTCCCGGCCGCACCTGGAAGACGAGGTCAGGTCAGGAGGTGAACGAAGAGGATGGCCAGGCCGATGTTCAGCAGGATCACCATGCAGATGAGGACGGTGTTGGGGACCTGGGAACAGCGGGAAGAGGCTGCCTGAGTCCCCAGGAGAACACACTCCCCGACCCCGACCCTCCGCGGTGTCCAGCACCCGGACAGACCATCCGAGCTGGAAAGATTCTTGGAGGAAATAATCAACCAAACTGCTCAGGGTCCAGAGAGGATCGAGAACGTATCCCAGGGCACACAGCTGGCAGAGCTGGGACTGGAATCCAAGAACTCAGCCGTGCCCACTGCTAATTCCTCTGGGGCTGCATCCCTCAGTCCTCTGAGCCAGCTTCAGTCTTTGGCACTGTAGCCCCCGGCTCCCATAGCAAGGCCAGAGGGCCAGGACCCACCCCCCTACTGGGCCGCTCCTCCATCCCCCAAAGCACTCCCTGCTACACCGTGTAGAGGCTATTGGAGCTCAGCCTAGATCCCCCATAAACCGGGGCGCCCCACAGCTCAGCTGCTTGGGACTCCCAGTCGCCTCCTCCAAACGAGCGCCCAGACAACAGTACAGAGGCCAGCCCCTGCCCCTGCGGTGGCGGCACTCTGCCCGGTAACCCTGGGTCAGGCTGCACCTAACTAAGCCCTGCACTGTGCTATCACCCTGGCCCCCCGGTCATCTGCCCCCCGAATCACATCTCCGGCTCCCCCCTCCACTCCCCACTTCCACCAGCAGCCTCACCTCCTCCACCTCGACCTCGGCCGCCGCCGCGGCCTCCTTCCGAGCCTTCTTCTTGGCCCCAGCCTTGGTCAGCCCTCGGGCCTCCGTCTTGCGGGCCTTGACCTTGGGCTCGGCCTTGGGCACGATGGGCTTGGGCTCCAGCTTGGCGGGGCTCTCGGGCGTCTGCGCGGGGCTTCGGGGCGGGGGCGCCGTCCCGGGAGGGCGCCGGGGTCTCCCGTTCGTGCAGCTCCGGGCTCTCGCGGAGCCGTTCCGGGAGGCCCGCGGCGCTGGGGCCCCGGTCGGGGGAATCCAGCAGGCTCTCCGAATTCTCCAGGATCTCCTGGAGCAGCCGGCGCTTCTGATACTCGGGACCTGCCAGGGGACCACACGGGGAGGCGGGATTCGAAGCCGGGTCCCCGCACCGGGTGACCCTGGGCAAGCCGCTCCAACCCCGCTGAGTCTCGTGGACGTACTCAGCCAGCACTGACCTGCCGCCATCAGGTGCCAAAAGCACTGTTTCTTAAGCCATTCATTCCCCAATACTAACTCTTTTACTCCTTTGAATAACCCTATGAGGTGGATGCTATTATTTAGCCTCCACTGCACAGATGAAGAAAAGGAGGCTCAGAGACATAAAATGCCTTGCCCAAAGTCACCCAGCTGACCAAGAGCAGGGCCGGGGCTGGCACCCAGGCTAAGTCTGGCTCCAGAGTTTATGCTCTTTATGGTCACACCGGCCTCTTTCCATTCTCTTATCTGAAAAACGGGCCTAATCATATCTATTTCATAAATACTAACTGCAGGATTAATCGGATGGGAAAAAGCCTGTAAAATGCTGAGCGCAGAACCTGACACGTGGTGACAGCTGTTGCTATGACCACCCAAGGTGGAGGCTGCCAGCCAGCGTCGCTCTTCCTGGGACCAGCAGGGGGCGCACTGTGACGGGACGCCCGACTCTCGCCAGGCAGAGATCTGCACTCAGGTCTTGCATCTAGCCTCCCTTGCTGCTGCTGCTGCTAACTCGCTTCAGTCGTGTCCGACTCTGTGCGACCCCATAGAGGCAGCCCAGTAGGCTCCCCCGTCCCTGGGATTCTCCAGGCAGGAACATTGGAGTGAGTTGCCATTTCCTTCTCCAATGCATGAAAGTGAAGTCGCTCAGTCGTGTCCGACTCACAGCGATCCCATGGACTGCAGCCTACCAGGCTTCTCCGTCCATGGGACTTTCCAGGCAAGAGTACTGGAGTGGAGTGCCATTGCCTTCTACACTAATCTCCCTTAGGTCTCCTTAAAAACCCTTCAACGTGGATAGCACCAGTCGCCCACTGATTGGCTCCCACCACTCTATACAAGGGCAAAGTCTGGATCAGAGCCAGGAGGTCCTCCTCACTCTGCAGCCTCATTTCCCAGAGAGAAGAGACAGGCTGCAGTTGGGGGAGCCTCTGATATTACCACCCCAATCTCAGCCTGAGTCCCCTTGACTCATCCCATCCCATGCCTGCACCACACCCCACAGATGCTCACAGGTATGTGTGGACCCACCCGAGCATCTCAGCTTTCCACCAAGCAAAGAAAAAGGGTCCACCTCTCCACCCCCACCCCGCGGCCCACCCCAACTCCTCCCCCACCCCATCCGGGCCAGTCCCCTCCCTGGCTGGCCCTACCTGGCTGGTAGAAGTCTGGAGCCAGCTCCCTGGCCAAAGTGCGGGCAATGTTGGACTCTTGGTTGGCAGCCAGGGCAGCCTGTTCTGCTGCCTCAGCTTTGGCCTTGGCGTGGCTTGTCCTAAGGAGACGACATGGTGGAGTCTTAAGATCCCTCCAGAAAACCAACCCTCTCTGCCCTTCGTCCCCAACCCACAAAGAGACACCCTGGACAACACTTTTGCTCATTTGGGCTGTCAATGAATATTTATTAAGCCCTGTGGTCCAGGCTGTTGTGCGTTCCCCAGACCATTTCCTCTTCTCTCAGGGCACACAGACAGACTACATTTTCCAGCCTCCCTGGGGTTAGGTGTGGTCAGGTGACTGGCTAAAGCACTGTGGGAAGACAGGATGATGCCATTTCCAGGCATGGTCCACAAAAACCTGTCCTGCAATCCACAGAGTCCTCTCTCTTCTCTCCTGTTGCTGGTAAAATGCAGAAGCCAAGCCCCAGAACAGGGGACTTAACCTCATTTGTGTCACAGATCTTTTCAATCTGGTAACACCTGTGGACCCTTTCTTGGTATACTGTTTTAAAATGCATAAATTACACAGGATTACAAAGAGATGCAATTACACTGACATACTGTTACCAGAATATTTAAAGGGATAAATCTGTAATATAACAATGTATATTCTTCTTTATTAACACATTAGACAAAATATTCAGCAGGCCTATTGACCACCATAATTTAAAAGTATAAATTAGCATAAAGGATATTTCAAGGATACATGCAACAATAGGAATGTGGCATGGAAATATATGTGATTCCTATGAGTGACAAAATCAAAGATACTGCTAATACTACTGTGATTTATCGCCGACTTCTATAGTTGAAGATAATGCTAAATTTCAGTTACACGTTAGTAAAAATAGAGAGGTGGTTTTCCATGAAGATCCCTTCACTAGGACCAACCCTTAGCTGCCGAATGACTGCTGATGGCGCACTGCTGTCTCAAAGAACTGCAACCAATAGAAGCCACCTTGTTCCAAAGGTCCATACCCCTCCCCAACCCAGGGAGCCTATCACCAATGACTACCGACCCCAGCCAGCCCCTTCTTGCCCCAAAAGGAACCAAGTTCTGAGGTACAACTCAGGCTCCAAAGCCCCACCATGGGATGAGGCTGAAGCAGAACTCCAGAACACGTCGCTGCTTGTCTTCTTCTGTGTCCCATTCTGCCTCTCTCCCTCCCCCTCACATCTGAGAGCACTTGCTCCATAAATTGCCCATGCAAGAATCCTCATATCAGACTCAGCTTCTAGGGAATCTAACCTAAGGCAGCATCCAGATTCACAGACAAGCTGAATTCCATCCACAGAACTCCCCTGTGGACCCCAGGGTCAAGAAACACACTGGAAGGAACTTGGGTCCACAAATGATTATTGCATAGAGCAAAGCCCACCTCCTTCACAGTCCCATATTAAATGTGGAACATTTGAGCATTAAATTTAAACATTAAATTCAGCAAGCCTTAAATGTCTACTGCGTTCAGCACCTGAAATTTGGGGGATGTTTATTTAAGCTGTTAATCTAACCTGACTAGGAAAAGCATCTGCGAAAATATTAACAGCCCCAATAACCAATGGGCTTCATTGTAAAGAAATTAATTATCTCATGTAATCATCATGATGCCTTAGGAAGCTGATGTTATTGTCCCTATTTTACAGAAAAGGAAACTGAGGCACAGGCAGGGTAGGTAACTTGCCCAAGGTCACAGAGTCTCTAAGTGCAGGAACTGGGATTTTGAACCCAGGCAAGATGATTCCAGACCCTTCGCTGCTCTGAAGTGTGTGCCATGGTTGGCCAGGAGCCGAGATTCCTAGGGACAAGACAAATGCTTTTCAAAAGAAGGAGATGGGCTGGATGCAAACAACCAAAATTATTTAACATAATGTAATCAAATAAAAGGGCTTCCCTGGTAGTCCTGGTAAAGAATCCACATGCAATGCAAGAGACTGACCCCTGTTCAACTCCTGAGTCCCAAAGTTCCCCTGGAGAAAGGATGGGCCACCCACTGCAGTATGCTTGGGCTTCCCTGGCAGCTCAGACGGTAAAGAATCTGCCTGCAATGCAAGAGACCGAGGTTTGATCCCTGGGTCAGGAAGACTCCCTGAAGGAGGGCACGGCAACCCACTCCAATATTCTTGCCTGGAGAATCCCACCAACAGAGGAGCCTGCAGGGCCACAGTTTGTAGGGTCGCAAAGTCGGACATGACTGAGTGATTAAGCACAGCACAATCATAAAGAGAAATGCCGTAAAGGAAGAGGACAGAACACGATGAAAACGTCCAACAGGAAGACTTGATGTAGATCGGTGGTGGAGGGCAGGATTAGGCAAGGTTTCCTCAAGGATGTGACAGCTGAGACCTGAGACTGACATATCCATTGGCCCATCAGCAGTGAGGCGGGGACAGTGAGCCAGGCAGAGGGAAGAGCATGTGCAAAGGTCCTGAAAGGGGGTCCGAGCTTCATGCCTTTGGGGAACTGAAAGGTCCAATCAGTGTCCCCATGGGCAGATGAGTCACTTCCTTGGGAATTTGATCTGCATGTGTCTCCAGCATGGAATTAAGCCCCATCTAAAGACAAAGTTTACTAAGCTCCCTCCAGGTGCCAAGTCTTTTGCCTACATTATGCCTTGCAAGCCTCAAAACTGCCTGGGAGGTAGCTTTCACTGACTCTACTCCACAGGTAGGGAAACTCAGAGCAATACCTTACTCAAGGATGCCAAGTAACAGCTGACATTTACAGAGAATTTACAACATTTTCCCGGTAACTCTTTGTGGCCAATGTTATCAGCACCATCCCTCTTTACAGAGGAGAAATCCAAGGCATGAGAAGGCTTAAGGAGCCCACCTAAACTTATCCAACCAGCAAGTGAAAGCAAGGTTTCAAACAAAGGCTTTCTTGAGTCTGGGCCTTTTGTCACAGGTTGTCCTTCCACTCAATAATAAGTAGTGGGTGGCTTCCATGGTGGTCCAGTGATTAAGACTCTGCCTTCCAATGCAGGGGACATGGGTTCTATCCCTGGTTGGGGAACTAAGATTCCATATGCTGCTGGGCAACTAAGCCCACACACAGGAACTACTGAGCCCTGGAGGCTCTAGAGTCTGTGGTCTACAAGAGAAGCCCCACTTACCGCAAGGAGAAGCCCATGCACCACAACCAGGGACCCAGCACAGTCAAAATAATAATAAGTAGTAGAGTTCAAACCCAGAACTGTCTGGTTTCTAAGCCCCTGCCCTCTCCACTGCCGCAGTAATGTTTACTGAAGAAAACAGTATTATACTGAATGAAAGAATACTTAAAAGAATGCATGCATACATACATGGACAAGGGGGCAGCGTAGAGAATAAGGAGCATGGTTTTGGAATCAGCAGCCCTGGACTCTAATTTTGGCTCGGCCATGGCTGGGGCTACGGTGCAAATGAGGCATTCACCTCAGGCTCAAAATTTGGGGGGCTGACCAAAAAAACTCAATAATCCGGATAAATAGTACTTGAATGCAATATTTTTTAAAGTCAAAATTAATGCAGCAATAATCCTTGATGAACAAGCTATTAAAAAAAGTGTCAATAGAGTCCAGATCCGGACCCTGCACTTGTAAGACTCAGCTCACTCGCCTCCCCCTAGTCCCAACCGTACAAGGACTCTAGGACCTTGGGTGAAAGGCTTTGTCTCTGTGCCTCAGTTTCAGCATCTGTAGGATAATTCTCCCCTCTTGGAGTTGCTGTGAAAATGGCTGAGAAGCAACATAGGAAAGTGTTTAGCCCAGGATGGGGCTGAGCGATGGCGATGATGGTGGTGGTGATGATGGTGGTGTTGATGAGGGTGTTGGAGGAGGAGATAAAGGAGAAAGATAACATTTGTTATCCTGAAACCAAGTGTGGAACCAACAAGGGCCTACTGTATAGCACAGGAAACTATATTCAATATTATGTAATAACCTGTAAGGGGCAAGAATCTGAAAAGGGGTATACACACACATATATCTATAACCAAATCACTGGGTTGCACATCTGAAATTTACATGATATTGCAAATCAACTACACTTCAATTAAAAACTAAAAAAAAGAAAAAATGTAGTACATGCACAAGCCCAGACGCACATTTGCCTGTACATGGGCATGTGTGACTCAAAGATCTAAATTTTCAGAGACACTTCCCTGGAAACCTGAAACCCCAGGTTGGGTTGGGGAGGAGGGAAAAGACTGGGCAAACCTTCAAACTGAGAAAATGTCCTTTTTTGGTTGTGTGAGCTGGATGAGGCTTGTTTCCTGCGAAGCTGTGTTGCAGGACGGACTCCTCAGGCCAGAATGGCAGTCTTCACACTGAGCCCTGGAAGGTTCTAGAGGATCAACAATGGACCCTCCAGGGCAACCAGAACAGGGGTCAGAGGGGAATGGCCACACAGCCCAAGGTAATAAAGGCTGCTGAGTTTGAAGGAGGCACCCATGACTGACTGAATACCTTACCAGCCCCCTCCCCAATGCCTCTGATCTCAGGAATGGCCCCTCAGCTCCCTAACCCTCAAGCCAGGAATCCCAGTGTCTCCTACACCCTCCTTCCTCATCTTTCAATATTCACAAACAACCACCACCAACTCCTGTCTCTCCTGGTCCCCCTGAAGCTCTTGATCTGCCAATTCTCCATCTTTCCATGGCTCCCCCTGCCAGGTCCCCCACTCCCCTCTGTAACCTCCCTGCTTCCAGGCTCACTCCCTACAAACCATCACAGGCAGCTTGCTTGCCTCACCTCTTGCTGACAGTCTCTGCAAGGCTTCCTAACTTGCTCAAAGTAAAGTCCAAAGTACTGAGCACAGCCTTCAAGGCTACCCGGATTCTCACCCTGAAGCAGCCCTGATGGGGTGTATCTGGAAGCTTACCAGGTAAAGGGCAGGCTGAACTGCTGCAGTCCAGAGGCTATCTTCTGGTCCAGTGGCGCTCACGGTGTGGTCCATGCAGCCCCCAGCCCCTCATCATCTGGGCACTTGTTGCAAATGCAGGCTGGGGGGGCTCCACCCCAGATCCACTGAATCAGAATTTCTCAGGAGGAGCCCAGGAATCTGTGTTGTATAAGCC